GTAATTGTTAAAGATTGTTGGTTCTGGTGCTTTTTTTACAGCCTCAGCATTTTTTTCGGTAGTTGTAATCCCGTTTTTTGAAATATTGTGTCCTAAACTCCATTTTGTTTGAAAAATTTACATTTTTAGCTTTATTCCATTTTCATCTAGACATTTTAGTATCTTTTTAAATTTGGTTTGTGCTTCTCTCTATTTTTCCCGGTTATTATAAAATCATCTAAATAATAAGCTACTCCTTCAAAACCTTTTAATAATTCTCGATGGCTCGTTGAATTATGGCTGGAGAAGAAGATGTACCAAAAGGTAGATTTGTATATTTAGATAATCCTCTACGTATTGATTATAAATTTTTGAGACTCTTCCCCCACTTTAATTTGAAAATAGGCATATGAGAGATCCAATATTGAAACTTCCTCTCCTTTTCCCAAACTGGCTAATAAATCTTGGATTCTTGATATTGGGTATGAATCAATATTAATATGATTTATAGTTCTTTTAAAATCCCCACAAATTAGTAATGTTTTATCTTTCTTTTGAACAATTACTATGGGTAATGCATAAAGTGAATGATTTATTTTTTCTATTACTCCTATTTTTAGTAATCTGTCTAAATCTTCTTCAACTTTATCTTTTAATACGTATGGTACGGGGTGATTTACAGAAAATTGGGTTCTCGTTTTTCATATATATTTGTGCCTTAAAATCTTTCAAGTAGCCCAATTCTTTGGTAAATAATTGAGAAAATTCATTTTGTATATTAATATTATTTATATGTATCATCCTTTCAGGTATTTCAGTCATTTTGGAAAATTTAGTTATCCAGTTTCTTCCAATGATATTTTTGGTATATTCTTTTGTAATTATGAGAGGTAGTTCTAATGTTCGTCCTTTATATTGTACTTTTACTACAGTCTAACCTAATAGTGGTATATTGGTTTCTGTTAGCTTTTAAGTTTTAGCATGCAATTATCCAGGAGAGTTAAGTTTGTTTTTCCAATCTATTTAATTAATTATGCTTGCCCATTCCATTCTGATATAGCTGTTGTTTATGTTATATTTGAATATCGTATATATTCAAAATGTTAAGTTATATATTTTAAAAGGACGTTATTTGTGTATATTATATTAATATAACTTTCTGACATGTAATATTATATTATCGAGGTTAATCAAATTGCATATTATAAGAAGTTAAATTGGATAATTATATAAGTGTATATATATACAAAAGAATTACAAATAAAATTCATTATTGTTTTTAAAACATAATCGAATTAATATTTGGCGACGAGGTAAAAAAAAAGTCGCGCGGTTTTCGGTCAAGTTAAATGTTATATAGAATTATAAATTTAATTTTCTGTTTAAAAAAAATAATAAAATAACGATAGATTTGTTTAGAAATTATGGATAAAAGATGAATGAGATAAATGGGCTATTGACGACTATAGACACATAAAATATCCTGAAAATTTTCTATTGACGACTATAGTCACACAAAAAAAATATTCCTCAAATTGACGTCACTTTGAAAAAATTATTTATAACCTATGAAGGAATAAATATTAACTGATATAAAAAAAAAGAATTACTCTTCCCAAGAAAATATGGGCAGATATATATACATACAAAATTGCAAAACAACTTATAAAGATAAAACAACTGTTCTAGCTAGCATCTAGAATTGAATTCATTAGATTAAGTCGCGGGCCTACAGAATCCGTTTTGAGTTATTTAAAAAATATAAAGGAGCTAGCCCGAAGATGCGAATTTGAAGATAATGCAGAACTAAGAATTCGCGATCAATTAATCGCCGGAGAACTAAGTTTACGATACTCAGATACTAAAGACGAAGACCAACCGTTAAACTTAAACAAATATATAGAATTTATGATAATGATAAAGGGCACGATGCAGCCTATTTAGATTTTCTTGGATTATAGAATTTATAATGATAAAGGGCACTATCAAAATGATTGATACAGCCTATTTGGATTTCCGAGGATTATTGAATTTGACACAGCCTATTTGGATTTCCAGGGATTATAGAATTTAACTTAGCGTTACCAACGAATGTAAAAATTAATATGATCAACAATAAATATAATGATAATGGTAACGTGAATATTGACAAACTATATAATGAAATTGCTACGGTGTTTGATAATAAATTAGGATTAATAATAAGTAGATGAAAACGGAAAAAATTAATATGATCAACTTGAACTTGGTAAATAAAAAGATTAAGACGATCTTAACCTGGTGGGAAAGAAGATGTTATATTTGAATATCGTATATATTCAAAATGTTAAGATATATATTTTAAAAGGACGTTATTTGTGTATTATATTATTATAACTTTCCGACATGTAATATTATATTATCGAGGTTAATCAAATTGCATATTATTAGAAGTTAAATTGGATAATTATATAAATGTATATATACAAAAGAATTACAAATAAAATTCATTATTGTTTTTTAACATAATCGATTTAAGAGTTTATTTTAACATTCACCCAAAATTCTGGATTATATTCGTTTTTTATTATTAATAATTTCTACAGACTCGAGCAATGTGCCCAATTTTGTTGCATTTATAACAAGTGGCATTCTTGAATAAACAATTTTCCCTTCTATGGTTTCCACTGCAGGAGTGGCAGGGATTTGGTTTTTAGTAGCTCCTATTATATGATATTCATTAACTTTTTGAATTTTATTTATATTATTATGTTCCTTCTAACTGATCAATTTTAGTTTCATCATTTTGTATTTTTTATAGCTGTTTCTACTGCAGTAGCTATTTGAATAGCTTTATTTATGTCTATATCATCTTCAGATAATAATCTTTGTAAAATTTTGATTTTTTATTCTTAATATAAATTTATCTCTTTGCAGAATTTAAATATTCCCCAAATTCACAAGTACTGCAGTAGCTATTTGAATAGCTTTATTTATGTCTATATCATCTTCAGATAATAATCTTTGTAAAATTTTGATTTTTTATTCTGAACATAAATTTATCTCTTTGCAGTATTTAAATATTCCCCAAATTCACAAGTACTGCAGTAGCTATTTGAATAGCATTATTTATGTCTATATCATCTTCAGATAATAATCTTTGTAAAATTTAATTTTTTATTCTGAATATAAATTTATCTCTTAATGCAGTATTTAAATATTCCCCAAATTCACAAGTCATTGCTAATTTTTATTTGATTATATTGATAAAAATTATATCTTTCTACAATTATATTAGGAATAGGATGAAAAAATTTGAGTAAAATTTTATACCTCTTTATTTACTGGACTATCTGGTGCACATAAATTTAAAATATTTTATAAGTATTACATCCTATTGTTAATAACAGGGATTTTTCATGTGATGATCTTAATCTTGGTTGTGTGTTTTTAAATTCTTTAAATAAATCATACCAATCTTTGTAAAATAAGTTAGAATCTATTAAACTTTTTATTGAATGCACCATTCTTGTAGTGTCTTCTTTAGTAGTTCTGGAAATATCAAAATCACAATTTTTTATATTTCAAAATCTCATTTTTCCATTATTCAAATTCATATAATATATATATAATGAAAATAAACATTTTACAAAAAAATAACAAAACAACAAGTCAATACTTATCAGATAACTTATCTCAATTTTTTGAAGCAAGGGATAAAAAAATAAATGTTTTTAATAAATTCCCTATGTTAAAAGAGTTGTTTATTAAGTATAATATCACAATCCTCTCATCTGCCCCTGTAGAGCGTGTTTTTAGTAGCTTATGCCGTATTAACTTTTAAGTGTTCCTGCCTATCAGATGAAAATTTTGAAAAACAATTGTTATTAAAATTTAATAAGAAAAATTTATAAATAAAAATATCTTTTTATTCGCTATATCATATTGTATTTATTATCAAAATAACATGTTAAAAAATATAAGACATTTATTTATATGAAATTTAAAAAAAAATTTATCATAAAATTTAGGTTTTTTGTGAATAATGTTAAATTTCATTATCTTTCAAAAAATGGTTGATTCACCATTAACAGATATTATGAAAATATTAAGCTTATTGATTAATTCTGATATTTAGGGCTATGCCAATATTAAATATAGGATCAGCATGAGTTTTCAAAAAATAATGAATCATGCTGATATTTTAAAAAAACTCATTCAATCCAATTTTGGATATTTTATGATTGTATATATAATCATGTAATTTTATTATTTTATAAATAAATTCATAATAAATGAATGTAACAAATATAATTTATTTATTGTAATGTTTAAAATTTTACTCTATTTTTTGTTACATTAACTGAAACAAGAAAAGGACTTTACCTAAAGTCACATTCAAATGTTGCTAAATGGCTTGATCTAGCCAATTTAAAAATAGTTAACTCAAAATTTTGGCCAAAAATAAATTACTCAAGCCTATTGATTTTGCCCACAGATTAGAAAGATTTGGATTTTTAATTCAATCACTCCCCAATATTATTTTTTTTTATTAAAGGTCATTATATTTAAAAAAATAGGCCACACATCCTTAGTACAAAATTGTAACTAAGCCAGGTAAAAATTTGACCATGCTAGGCAAAAACAAATCCCAACCAGGCCCCTACAAATTTGTTATAATATTTTAGTGTGGGTTTATAATCCATTGATGTAAATTCTTGAATCAACAGGAAAGTGGTTTGTAATTTATTTCTTTTTAAGTAGGGAGTGACCATGAAATGAGGATTGAGTCTACTAAAAACAGACTACAAGACAAGGGAGACTTAAGCAAAATCAAAAACAGACCTCAATCAAGATGAGTAAGGTTAGGAATAGACTTAACAACAAACTTTACTTATCTTAAAGGCTGATTTAAAAGTCAACTCATTGAGCCAGACAATTTGAATTCAGAATTTAGTTGTAAAAACTAGGCTAATTCTTGCAGACTTAAATAATTTTAATTTAATATACACAAAAAAAATTTGATTACATTTATAATTTAATATATATATAGAAATATTACTCAGGTTTTAAAGATCAAATTTAACATGTTTAAAAATTAAGATGTAAAAGAGTGAACTTATAAAGTGATATTATTTAACTATAAATATATAATTTTATTTATTACATAGATTAAAATAGTATAGATCATATCTTTTTATTATTCTTTCTAAATCATAGTCATAGATTATAATTTCTAAAAATTCCTAAATAACTGTTATAAATTTATAATTCGTAGATAAAATTACTTTGCTAAAATTCCATCTTCTTTTGTTAACCTATTAATGCAATCATCTGACTCTCCCTAAATATTAAAAAATTATTTAGTATAAAAAATTTAAAATACTATTCTACGAATATTTCCGCATATGGCATATATTTTAGATGATGAGAGTGCTACACCATCTTCGCCAATCTAATTTATAATATAATAATGTTAAGCAAATAATAAAATACATCAGCTATAGCCAACTGAATTGAAGCATGATCTGTAGCAGATAAAATATTGTTTGTTGCAGAGCTAGCAAATAAAAATGAGGTAATTATTATATATATTTATACCATTTTCGAGGAATATATAGATCTACAAATTCCCCTGTATCGTTTTGCATATTTATAAATTTTAAGGAAATATATAGTAAAGAAAGTTTCCTCCGCAAGGAATGTTAGAGTTAAACATATATTTATGGAAGTCAATGAAATTCAAAATGTCTCAATTTTAAAAAATTTATTAAGAACGATTTTTTATATCTGAAAATTCTAATTTAATCCGAAATAACTCCAACATGTATAGAGTACCCACACTGTGAATTACGAATAATTGCCTAGAACTGTTAAAATATTTTCAATTTATATCCGTGTTTAAATCGTTTTTTTATAAATATTAAAAATAAAGGAAAATATATAGCTAGTGTGATATTTATAGGGTAGGTTGGTTAGATATGCTGAAATCTTTTATGAAATCAGATTGTAAAAATAGTATATAAAGTTGATTCTTTTCTTATATTATGTTTGTTTGCTAATGATCAGTAAATTGTTGTAATACAATTATTAAGCGCACAAAAGTTTCCTCTACAATAAATTAATGTATAAAAATATAATAAAATAAATTAATGAAAACTTAGCTTTCACTCTACTCAAGTCCAAGCTCAAAAGGATCAATATATTAAGAACAAGATAGTTTCCTATATTACAATAAATTAATGTATAAAAATATAATATAAATTAATGAAAACTTAGCTTTCACTCTACTCAAGCTCAAGCTCAAAAGGATCAATGAATTAAGAACAAGAAGTACAATAAATCACAATAGTTTCCTATATACAATAAATTAATGTATAAAAATTAATATAATAAATTAATGAAAACTTAGCTTTCACTCTACTCAAGCCCAAGCTCAAAAGGATCAATGAATTAAGAACAAGAAATATAATCAATCACAATAGTATACAATAAATTAATGTATAAAAATATAATATAAATTAATGAAAACCTAGCTTTCACTCTACTCAAGCCCAAGCTCAAAAGGATCAATGAATTAAGAACAAAAATATAATCAATCACAATAGTTTCCTATATACAATAAATTAATGTATAAAAATTAATATAATAAATTAATGAAAACTTAGCTTTCACTCTACTCAAGCCCAAGCTCAAACGGATCAATGAATTAAGAACAGGATAGTTTCCTATATACAATAAATTAATGTATAAAAATATAATATAAATTAATGAAAACTTAGCTTTAACTCTACTTAAGCCCACGCTCAAAAGGATCAATGAAATACAATCAATCACAATAGTTTCCTATATACAATAAATTAATGTAAAAAATTAAATAAATAAATGAAAACTTAGCTTTCACTCTACTCAAGCCCAAGCTCAAAAGGATCAATGAATTAAGAAGAAGAAATACAATCAATCACTATAGTTTCCTATATACAATAAATTAATCTATAAAAATTAATATAATAAATTAATCAAAACTTAGCTTTCACTCTACTCAAACTCAAACATAAGCGTTTTCACTTCCTTTGCAAAAAAAACGAAAAGCACGTGGTAAATGATATATAGCGTCAAGCGACGTAATTGATATTTTATGCATTCAAATATAGTAAACGACATGATAATTCTTCTCAGGGAATGTTATATTCAAATAATAGATATCATTAAAAAATAAATAAATGATAAGAGAAAATAATGTGAACAAAATAATATTTTTTTTTCCTACCGGCCTCTTTTTTGATATTTTCCTCTCATCGGCCTCAAAATCGACATTTTCTCGCGGCCTCGTGGGCAAAATGCCCACTGGGTCTTATGGCCAGTCCGCCCCTGTCTCAGATAATTTATTATAGATGAATTAATCAAGTTATTTTTAAATGTCCCATACGACTTACAAAAAAAAATGGTAAGATAAAAGATAATAAGAAATACACAATCATCCAGAAAATCCAATCGAAATGGAAACCAAGAAAATAATCAATTCAATTAAGAATGAAGCTTTGAATAATACTATGGAAACTCCAAACTTTAGTGGCGAAACACGTATCTCAATTAAGTGATTCCATATCAATGGCACTACCATCACCGAATCTTATGAAACGTATAATTCACCGAACGCGGAGTTCAAACAGATTTGCACCTCCGAATCCTAGCAGCCTTATTGAGCTGGTAATTCCGCATGAATATTCAATTACAGATAAATATGAGGATTTCATACTTCATGATGATGGTCCGGTAAGATTTTCTATAAATTTTTTGAACAAATATAACTAAATCCTTCATATTTATTGCGATAAGCTGCCCGATAAGAAACACTTTATTATAATTGCTTATTTATTTATCATGTGTGACAGGTTCCCGACCGTATTATCATATTTGGAAGAAGAAAAAATTTGGACTTCTTAGCTTCATGCGAACATTGGTTTTCTGATGGTACATTTAAATCGTCGCCACCTTTATTTACGCAAATTTATACAATTCATGGGATTAGAAATAATAATGTTTTACCTCTCATATATATATTGACCAATAGAAAGGATTATGAAACTTATAAAAAATAATTTACTATTATAGGTGACAACTTAATATCAACTCCAAAAAAAATTATGGCGGATTTTGAAATGGCCAGTGTAAAAGCTTTCAGTAAAGTGTTTCCCAGTTCGCAACACAAATGTTGCTATTTCCATTTTGGCCAATCCTTTTGGCGAATTCAAAAATATCCAGAAATATCGCAGAAATATAAAACAGATGTGGAATTTAATATACAACTTAGAATGATGGTTTGTTTGGCGTTTGTGCCACCCTTAAATGTAGTTGAAACTAGAGGTGGGCGCGGGCCGTGAAATTACTCGTGACCCATCGTGTCACAGTGGGTCACGGCATGCTCTACAGTAAAAACTTGTTTAATAAATTTAATGGCGCTATTGCTAAAAATATTATATTAAAATGTTCAAATAATACTCTAATTCATACATTTTTAAATGAAGCAGATATTTTTATTAAGACAATTTTAGAATATTTAGAATCAAAATTTGAAATAACTCTATTTACAAATGTATAAAATTATGACCTTGAACAGAAACCATCAATTGATGGTTTTTATAATTTATTAAATATATTAAAAATACCGAAAGATATTGATGTCTTGTTTGAGGTTGTAATTCTCTCTATTATTTATAATTCGCTAAAATACTTAAGTTAGATGGTCTAAAAGCAGAGGAGAAATGGGTAGAATTTTTTCGTAATAACGATAAATCCCCATGCTTGGAAAAAATATGCGAGTATGTCTTCTCCTTACCTCATTCTAATGCCTCATCCGAGCGCATTTTTTGCCTGATGAGGACTGCCTGAAAAAAGGAGAGAAATCGGATTGCTTTAACAAAATTAGAGGCCGAGCTAATGGTTAAACAAATATATAATATGTCATGCCAGGAATTTTATAAATATCTCAATAACGACGGTAAACATTTAGTTCTATTATTTAAATCTCAAATAAAATATATTTAAGTTTAAGCAATGGCGCCATAAAATTTATTGTCAAATTTTAATTGTAGATATGAACACATCTGCAGCATAATTTTGTGAATTTTTGTTAAGATTCTTCTGATTGTAACTACACACTAACAGCATTTAGTAGATTTTCTACAAGTGAAATCATTCCTAAATATACCTCTGCCATTCATTATTGAAAAAAATTTTCAAAATGTTAGGACAGCTTTTATAATCTTTATTTAAGAAACATATTTTTAAAGGTTTATAAAATTTTAAAATTCTATCGATGACGGGTATTAGGAACATATCGCAACTAATATTGTGCTCACTCAATTCTGTAAATACACTCTGTTTTTACCAAATTCCCTGAGGCATTATCAGATCAGAAAGCTGACATGCAATTTATTTATAATTACCATTATATGGTTAGCTATGTGTTTGAATTTTTTACTATTTGAGGGGAAATAATTAATAGTATTATTGAAACGACCTTAATTTTGTTGAAATATGGAGGATCAAGGCCTTATTAGATGCATCTGTTAGAATTGCATATGTATGCCCATCTTTCAAATCGTCAAGAATTGACCTCCTGGATTAAGGCCTTAAAACATTGATGATAGCCTTGCTCATTTTTGTTCTACAAGTATTGTTTTCATTTATATTGTCGTTAAATATTATGTGAAAAAGATTCTAACATTGTGATGATAAGTATCTCTGTGAATGTTGTACTACAAGATAAGTAATTACAATTGCCGCAACTGTTGTTGCATCTGTATTATTTCTTATTTTTGGAGTACATTATTATGTATTTAAACGTGATACGTGATAATTAAGTGCCTATCCCTATAATGTTATACACACACGGTAGATTTCCAATTGCGGTTTCCTAGATAATTCTATATATAAAAAAATGAAGAAATAAACCTTTATGGAATTGTATTTGATAGATGAATTTCCAAAATCTGAGGTGCGATTTCCATCCACATCATATCTATACAATGTATAAAAATATGTCGTTTTACGAGACATTCGCATATTCGCATAAAATATATTTTTAATTGTAATATTAAAATCTTTTTTTTTATAAAATTTTATCTTGTTTACATTCTTTTATATTTAAAAAAGATCGTTGGTTTTCTTTATAAATTAATATATTTTAATAAATCAAGATGTTATTTTATTTTGAAAAATAGTTACCATTCATCTAGGAATTCCCTCTCTACAGAATTTGCTCATAAATACAATTTTTAGCTAACAAAGCATTCCACCTATCAAGGTTGGCAGTGATGTATTAACATAGATTACTCTATTTATATTATTAGAATAAGTCATAATTTCCTTTTATTTTATTATTATAAATTACATTTTATTATCGTGAATTACATTTTTTCATTCTTTTTTTAACCAAAAACAATTTTCCTTTTATATTTTTTTTTAACAATAAATTAATAACCAATTATGTAAAATAAAAATGTTCGATTAAATTTAAATACAAATTGATATAAAAAAAAAGTAATGTTAAGATGATATAAAAAAAAAATGTTAATATAGAATAAAAATTATTTCACCGAAAGGTATAACAAAATCAGATTATTCCACCCTCCAAAGAAATTCGGCTTATTATTTCCTTGGATATGTTGAGTGGTAACACCATTAACGTTCATGATCGCCATGCAATACACCACCCATGTTCATGGAGCAGTCTCCTTTTCAAACCGAAGGATGGTTTGGTTAAGTAAAGGCCCTTAGCTAAATGCCCAATCAATTCGTTTGGCATGGCATCGGGCATCTAGATTCCTCTCGAGCAAGGATTATGTTGTCCTTCAGCCAGCCGTCCAATTCACGAGTCATCGCATCAACACTGGCATATGGAACTCTCCTTAGAGGTATGATCTTAAGCATGGCATCGAGCTTCAAGTGGATTTTCTTTTTTCTGACTATTTTGGGTTTGTAGAAGTAAGTTGATTCGAGGTCTTTTTTTGTTGTCGAGATTACCTTCTCGAGATCATTTTCAACATTACCCACTAAGAACGTTTTTAAAATGTTGTTGAAGGCATGGAGTCACATACGCCCTAGCAGGGGGATCTTATAACAATCCCCCACTATGGCCTCCAGCGTTTGTGATTTACCTTCAAACTTTACGATCACAATGGCTAGACCTAATATCTTGATGGCGCTGCCGTAGTTTATTTGTCTTACGTATCGTGGTTATGCCTACAGTCTTAGCTGCATGCTTCGGAAGTATTGTGTACCTTGTACCGGTGTCTACTTGCATCAACTGGGTATGTTGTTGATGCTCACCGTTACGATGTATGCGTCATATCTGGTATCGTTAACCCCCAGATTGTACACTTCAAGACTGAAGAATATGTTCTTTAATGTCTGCGTTTGAGTCGACGTAGTAGTTATCGTTACGATTGTCGAAACTGTTGCGGTTATAGTGACAATTATCGTAGCTTTGATCAAAACGATTGTCGTAGAAGTTGTCGTGCCGTCCGTCAAATCGTTTGTCGCGGCCATTGTCGTAGCGTATCTTGTAACGTTCATCGAGATATTGTCTGTGGCGATTGTCATTGACGAGCTGGAGTTGCTTGATAAGAGATTTATCATGTGCATGAGAGTCCTGAATGGGTTTTATGGATTAGTGACTATTTTTGGCTATGCCCATGTGATTAACCTCTTGTACTCAAGGTGATTCATTCAAATGAAACAATTTCATCCTGCCCTTGATTTCACTTGGCTCCGCAGTGTCTTCCTCTAGACCTAGATTGTAAATATCTTCTATAGTCATAGAGCTCCTGACCCCTTTCCTGACATCTTTGGAATTCGAAGCAACTCTCACTTTCTCAATAATGCGACGATGAATGCCATTGAATTTGCGTTCTTTATTGAGTCTTGCTACGCGTGTGATCCAAGCCCGAGAACATCTATCCTTGCCTTGAGTGTCAGCATAAAATAATAAGAGTTTGACGGATATTGTAGCTTGAATTTGCCAAGAAGAGCGATTGGGTCCTGGAAGTCTGCCTCCGTGCAAATTGCTTTAATGTTATTGAATTCGTCATCTGGAAGACTTTGGAGAAACAACGCAGCCTTAGAATTTTTCAATATCATTTATAAGCGCTGTAATCGCTACTAAATTTTAGGAAATCCAGCTTGACGAATTTGGTCATATAGTGGAATTCAATGCATCCATCGTAAAAGAATTATAATCGGTAAAAGCGTAATATAGAATTCATGTATAATGCAAAATCAAGATCGAATTTTGAGATAATACTTATGCGAAGTTCGGACTTAATTTGGCCTCCATGATGTATTAACATAGATTTCTCTTTATATTATTAGAATAAGTCATAATTTTCTTTTTTTTATTATTATAAATTATATTTTATTATCGAGAATTACATTTTATCATTCTTTTTTTAACAATAAATAAATAACCAATTATGTAAAATAAAAATGTTCAATTAAATTTAAATACAAATTGATATCAAAAAATGTAATGTTAATATAATATAAAAAATTATTTAACAGGCAGTATCGCAAATACTTGTATCTCTATTTTTATTGAAAAAATATATAGTATCTGCTTCTTAAATACTTTTTACAAAATGAGTTTCTAGATCTTTAACTATTTAATATGCAAAAGGTATTCATACTTTTAATTTTTGATTGTAAAAAGTTATATTTTATTTACATTCGAGTTAAACGAAAACAGGAGGTCATAAAAAAAATAGCAGCAATTAATCGTACCCTGCATAACATATTGGAATTGTCTTCATGTTGGCATTTTACTAGGTGAAAAATATAATTTGCAAGTTGAAAGATATTGAACTAGAATATCTTGAGAATTGCACTAAAGCATTAAATACCTTTGCAATAGCTACTTACAAGCTGCAAGCCCAAATAATTTGTCATTATGGAAATTTGGTTCCAATTTTATTTATTATAAACGAAGTATACATGAAGTACTTCAAACCGACTTGGCAGTTTGCCTACTACTTCACTTGTTATAGTCTTCGAAAGTGATAAAAGTTAAGCTTTAAAAATATTTTTATTTTAATTAAAAATGACTTTTTTTAATATATTAAATTCCAACAGAATTTTTACTGGATATAAACCCTCCTCAAGAATCTAAACCTTTCCACTATAAAAATTTAGCCCCCTACGGCGCCGATATTCTAACATTATTAATTATAACTTTTAATTATAGTTGAAATGCCTTCATAAATTTTAAAAACAATAATTTAAATTATTAATGCTCTACTACAAACTATCAAATTATTATGAATATATAAGAATAATTTTTAAGAACACAAATTTAATTAAAAACCTCTCATATACAATGAATGCAATATTGTATTTTATATTGTTTGGCATGAATACTTTTAAATTCCATATAAAAAGCAAAGAGTTTTATTTGGAAAATTACATATAATATATGATTATATGCAATATATTGATTTATTCGATATTCAATATTCAATATCATTGTATTATAATATTCTATAATAAAAGTATGTAATTTATTAGTTATATTATACTATTTTATCTTAAATATTAATAGCTAATTCCCCCAAAATTTTTCCTAACTAATCGACTCCCTAGTCTCCTCAAAAATATTGAATGCAAACTGTTGCAACATTCCCCCTTCCCATCTCTTATATAAATGCTGATTGAGGTTAATGTATTTGATAAGCCTACAAAGTCAACTTCTTTTATTGAAATACATTATTATTTTAGAATATACCTTCTAAATATAATGAGGCTAATCAAATTAAACTGGAAATATTAAATTATTATACAAATACAATCATTTATCCAATGATATATATAACTATAGATTGGCGATTCATTCATTCAATGCATTATAAAAGTGTCCACATATTGTAATCAGCTGTAGCGCCATTTTGTAGTTTGATTATCCATTATTTGTCAGCAAGAAATATTAATATATAGAAAACAAGTCTACTACGATAATTTAGTTTTAAAGGTTTCGATTTATGATATAATATTTTATAGTATCTTTTATTCTTAAATTTTCATAAGACTTTTTTTATGAAGGTGGTCTAGGTGATTATATTTAAAAAATAAATCTAAGACTAACCCACCTTTTAATTTTTAAAAATATAGTTTAACCTAATCCTGCATGGACTTATAAATCTTATGTTAATGCATCTTAGGATACATGCAAAACAGATCTTTTAATATCACTTTTATTATTTTATTTAGATAATGGGAGTGTGCTGTGTTCATAATTGTAATAAAACAAATAAAATAGAATCTAATACACATATTTCTTATCATAAGTATATATATTATTTTTTATATGCAACATATTTATTACATAAAGCATTAATAAGCTACAAACATTGAAAAATAATCCTTATTTAGTAAAAATATAAAGTTTTCTCATTTTTATTGCTAGGACAAATAATGCTTCTTCCTCTTGAGTTGATAAGATTTCTATTTTGAACTTTGCCTAAATATTTTTCTGGATAAAATATTAAGTTAGCCATTTTTAAAATACATATTTACTATGATACAGTTTCATTTTAAATATTTGTAAGAAATATGTAAACCATATATATATTAATAGAGGCTCTGCCAATCAACAAATTTTCACTGATTCAATACTATATTACTAATAACTGATCTGATATTTATATTGATTTTTATATACTATCTATCTTTGTATCAATGTCATAAATATATCTTATATTTTACTCATTATTATTCACCTATTTTTAAATATAGATTTCCATTAAAATCCAAATAATTATTGGAAAAATGGTTACAGGCTATAAATAGGAAAAATTTTATGCCTAATAAATATAGTATTATTTGTGGAAGGCATTTTAAAAATACTTGTTTCATTCATACTTTATCCGGAAAGATTTTATTGAAGGAAGATTCAATTCCATCGATATTTAGTATATCTAAGCCACTTCATGATGTATGTTAACAATATAATTACATAGTTAAAACAATATTTTAAAATGTATACTTTTTAGAAAACGAATGTTTATTCAAATAACATACAATCACCATTAAAAAGTGATATATTATATGAAAATGATCCAATTATACATATAATAAATGATCATAATTATTCCGCGACATATGAAACATTAAAAAGAAAAATTATTTACCAAGAGGCTATTATTAAACGCTTAAAAAAAGGGCACATGCTTATTATAGGAGCTCAAAAAGAGGAAAAAATAAAATAATCAATTTACAAACAATAATCACTTCACTAAAAGATGAAAATTTGTTATCAGATGATGTCGAAAATATTATAGACAGGCAATTTACAGGGACATCTTCTATATTCCTTAAAACACATATACACAGTGGAGGCATCTCAAACCCACAAAAAAATATATACAAGTGAATTCCGTCAATTTGCATTGACTATGCATTTTTATTCACCTAAGGCTTACAGATATCTCAAATCACACTTTTGTATGCCTCCGGAATCCACATTAAGGGCATGGAGTGGCAAGATTGAAATCATGCCAGGTTTATTATAATAATTTAAAAAAAATAAATTAAATAAAATAAAGGTTTCCTTTCTATTTCATTTACTTAAATTAAAAGCTACCAAAAAAAATCAGAAAAGCAGTTGTATTGTGTACTTAGCCTTGATGAAATGCATATTAAAACTCAAATAGATTATGACCCCCACAAAGCAGAATATCATGGTTATGTTGATTTAGGTGATGGGACAAAATCAACAAAAGAAGATAAATCTTGTCCAGAAGCAACAAAGGCACTGTTTCTTATGGCTACCTGTCTTAATAGCAGCTGGTAAATGCCAATAGCCTATTTTCTAGTTTCACAAATGAATTCAGATATCCTAGCTATTTAGTGAGAGTTGCATTGTTCAATCTAAATAAAACAGGAATTATCTGTAAGGCCATAGTATGTGATGGTTGTGCTGTTAATAAAAAAATGAGCAAACTGCTTGGTGTTAGTATGGATCAGTGGCGTAGCTACGGGGGTCGTTTTCAGGTTTGGACCCCTCCCAGAGCAAAATTTTTTTTTAGATTTTACGTTCTAAAGACTTAAAAGTGACTAATACCATTAATATTTATATTTTTCTGGTTTTGATGTTTGTGGAAGGATATTATATTACTATTGAAATTATTCTGGATAGTATTATTATAAAGTCATTGAGAATAATCGACTAAATTATAATAACATATTATTGATGCATTTAAAAAATATATTTATTATATATTATCGAAGATATGGTTATGATTTTGCATTTTATATGTATGGACCCCCTCTAAGAAAAATTCCTAGCTATGCCACTGGTATGGATCCTGATAATATCATTCCATATATTGAGCTGGAATTTTATGAATCGGAAAAAATATATATGTTACTAGATGTTTGTCATATGCTCAAATTACTTAGAAATCTATTAGCGGAGTAGGAAATTTTAATAAATGAATCAAATGGAGAGGTAGCTAGCTATATTAAATTTGATTAAATATTTATTTTGTATTTATAGATAATAGATTGGAAGCCTATACAAAATTTACATAAATTGCAGGAGTGCGAAGGTTTACGTGCTGCAAATAAATTGCGCAAAGCACATTGCTTTCCACAAACAAAAAATGAAAGTTTGATAATAAATATATAATTATTAAATATTTTTTAAAGGTATTCGATCTGCTGTTCGCATTTCATTAATGGCAAAATTGGATAATACAATTACAGGAAATTGCATTTCCTTAGATAATACTCAATTAATATGTTCAAATTTTCAAAATAATCAAGACGATGATTTTAATTCTATCAAAACTATTTCAAATCCAATTATACCCCAGGCATTATCTTATTATTTTAGCCAAACAAATCCTCATATCCCGAAATTATCATTATATTTAGATAATTTAACAACTTATATTTTGGGATATATAGTACAACAACTTATTAAAGAAAAAAAGGTACGATGTGATGTTTGCATTAATGCAATGGTCAGTGATTCATATATTGATAATAATATAAATAATATGCTCATAAATTTTAAAAATAATGGGGGGTTAGTGATTCCTTCTTCTAGTATGTCATGCAGAATTTGTGAAAGTTCATTTAGAACTTATCAAAATGATATTAAACGTAAAAATATTATTAAAAAAATGGAAGTGTTGGTTTTTTCCACAATAATTGGTACAAATATTTTTATTGATCTTACTGAACATATTAATGATGAGATTGGTTACAGCCATTTTCAAATTCTTGTAAAATTAATTGTTCAAAGGTAATCATTTATTAGTTTTAATACTATTTTTTTAAAGATATTTAAATATTAGATTTTTTCATTTTGCTGACTTGAGAAACCAGGAATTGAGAACGGGTATGAGGCAAAATCTTACAAAAGCAATACAATTTAATAATCATTAAGTCATGTAAATTAATATTTATATCTTCTTTTATTTTTTAAAAATTATATTGTATAAAGAACAGGCCTGATATAAGACATATTATAAAAATTATGATATTATATATAATCTATGCTAATGTAAATATATTTTATTTTTTATAGGTGATGATAGAATGAAAAAGGATAAATGTTTATAATCAAAGATAATATTAATGTGAATCATCACATTATTAAAAATACATTTTGTTTTTTAAAGTGTACACATTTATATTTTTATATATTTTGTATAAACCTTATTTAAATGATTTATATAATAATTTATACTCATGCAAAAAATGTTATTATTACACTATGTTTTTATTGAAAAAAAAATAAAAGATGTTTTCATTTGTCATTTATAATTAAGATGAAATAATTAAAACAAAAAAATTATAAATGATTATTACAATAAAAATTAAGTGAGATGAGCTCTCAACCCATCTTTTAAGATGGTTTAACTTATTTCATCTAGAACACATAATCCAAAAAAATTTTTAATTGACAGGATATTTTTTTATAAAATCTTATTTTCTTAACGTAATTACTTGATCTTCATCTACTTTTAGAGTATATCTTTGGTTCATCCTTTATAATAAAATTAATAAATATAAAATAAAAATAAGTTAAAAAAGTAAGAAAAAAATTAACATTGATTTCTCTTATTATTAAAACAAAATTTGTAGATTTTATTTAATTATATCTATACAGATCTTTTATATAAATTTTGATTATTATTTTAAGGTATAAATTACTTACCTAAAATTAAAAGTACCAGCAACTACAATAAATATCAGTGCATCATTTTTATTTATTAATAAGATATGAATCATAAAATATTATTATATTTAATAATAAGGATTCCATAAATGAACAATAAGTGGATAGTAAGATTTTTTTTGAAACATCAAGTGAATTTGATAAGCTATAAAAACTAATTTTATTAGAAAAATTAACAAATATATATAAAAAAATAAATGATTTTGATATTTGCAATTAATATGTATAAAATAAATTAGACTTTCTAATAAATGATTGGGGGTTAAATGGTTGAGGAATGTTTAAAAATAAATTTATTTTTATAATAATATTAACCAAGTAGATAAATTAACTTAAAACTATGATTGAAAGAAGTATTTTCTTGATTGAGTCAAAGGAATCTGTGTGATAAGTTTTTTTGGCAATTATATATAGGCAGTGGACCTTATTTGGTTGAATATTTGAGGGTGTATTAGATATAAGTATGGAATATTTTGTATGGGTATAATTTTGGTGATTTTTGCTTCAGTGATATTGTAGCAATCTATGTTTCTGAATAATTTCTGGGTGAAAGTAATTTAATGATATTATGTACTATTATTGTATTAAATGTTGAGTTTTTTTATTTTAGAGAATACCAATGTAATTTAATTGAAGATCAGTTGAGGTTAGGATTCATTTAATTATTTTACATAATTACATTATTAACAAATTATTAGATATACGTGATATATAGCGCTTTTGCCCTCTAACGTTGAAGATTCAACAGAGCTACGCTAGGTTTTCCTCATTTCCATCTAATTGGAACAATTTAATTTGGGTATAAATATAAAAATATGAGCCCTCCACACGTTTGTGGGCAAGCCGCACGTACTTGTAGGCACAACATTTCGAAAAATGTTGCTTAAACCTCTATAGGCTTTAATTTAGAAGGAGTAGGACAAAGAAAAAGCCTATACCCGAGAACTACAGTATAATTTAATTACTTTAAAGGTGGGTGATGGCTGATTTTAAGCTTAATTTCTTTAATGTAAGTTATATCTGTAAATAAATATGATTATCATATCATATCATATTTACCACCGGATGAACCGAACCAAATAAAAATGGCATCTATAGATTAGGAAAGAGCATCAAAAGTTAATATAGACATATGGATTGATGATCAAATATTTAAATAGTCGGAATGATTTTCAAAAGTAACATTTTAATAAGATGGATGTAAGCCACATAACTTAATAAAACCTTAGAGAAAACTTTCCTATTAGATATAAAATTGTTAAATTTTTAAAATTTATTATTATTGAGGCATTTGATCAACGTACAAGCTACAAAATGGCGCTAAAGCTGATTTCAATAGGTGGACGTTTTTTTATGCATGATCGTCAATCTATAGTTATATTTATCATTGCATTTATCAGCAACTTATATAAATATAAACATATCAAAGAATTTTTTCAAAACTTTTCTGCCCAATGGCTATTAGGCTTTGCAAATCTTGTCAATAGACCAAATGGGCAAAGATCGTTAGTTAAATTATTTAAGAAATTAATTAAATTAAAAATAAATGATTAATTATAAAAATTTTAACGTGTGTATATTTTTTATACGAATTATGAAATCACTTTTATAAAATTTAAAAACAATTTTTTTTTACATATAATCATAATTGTAATACATAAGCTTATATACTTTATCTAATATATTAAGTAAAATTAATATAAACAAAGTGCTTTACTTAGTATTATGTCCTATCTTTTAACACAACGTCCAAAAATATATTTCATATTAAATCTATTTTTTTCAAAGTATCTTTTTTAAGTATCTATATCGATTTTTTCTATATAATTTAAAAAGTATCTATATAAATACCTTTTTTAAAATTTTTACCAAGTATCTGTATCTTGTTTTTTATTCGAAAAAATATCTTGTTTCTTATTAAACCTTTTGAAAAAATATTTTGTTTCTGTATCTTAATTACTTATGTTTGAAGAGTATTTATTTATATCTGCATTAAGATAATTTTTTTTAAATTTACATCCCTGTTCCCTATTCATCTCTAATCCCATCTCCCCCATAAATATATGCAATATATCCGTTATCAATCCCTATAAAAAATAATTTGAAAGAAGTTTTTAAAATAATGACTCTAATTGAAAAGATTCTTATAAAAAGATAAAATAGAAAACCAAAATTATTTTTATAAAAGCATAACATATCCAAACTACAATAATTGGACCTAGAGATCTCCAATAAAGATAATTTACCCCCTCCGTCCACTAAGCTCCAACTGAAAGAGAGCGAGTTAGTACATTTTAGCAATGCCCTTACATCGTTTTTCACTTTAACACTCAAAAATTAATAAATTTGTATTGAAAATATATTCTAACATAAATCACCTGCACTATTAATCTCAGCTAATTTTGTTATTAGCTTTTGCTATTTTTATACATAAATATCACTGCAAATTTATTTAAATTTTAACGATAGACTCTTTGTACATTCTATACATAATTATAATATATTTTTTCAAAAAGATTGCCTTATATAGATAAGAAAAATATAAGCATGCCGGTCACCGTTTAGTACTCCATATGTATAACATTCATTCGCCTTGATATAATATCTGCAAAGTTTGCAAATATTTACGTAAATTATTTTCTGGGAATATTTTAAAAAAATAAATATTTACAAGTAAGTTTTTACCTTCTGAATTGGCACTTTTGTATATTTGTAAACTTATATTTTTTTTATTATAAAATTATGGATTGCCCTTTTTATAAAAAAATAGGAGCCTGCAGACATGGAAGTACCTGTGCTAGAGCTCATAATACACCAAGGCATAGTCAAGTTTTGTTTTTACTAGTTTTTATTAAATATAATTTATTTTTAGACTATCTTATTAACAAATTTCTATCATAACCCTAAACATCAAACATTAATTATGAAAGGTCAAGGTAAACTATCAATATATCTTATAAAATTATCGATATAATATCTAATATTTTGACAAAATTTTTTTAAAGTTATTGAGAATGCACCAAAATTTTCAGATGAAGAAGAGCAAAAACATTTTGATGACGTTTTTGAAGAATTATATATGGAATTGGAGGATGAAGTATTATATATATAAATATATATTCTAAAAAAGCATATATAATATTAAATATACATAATAAATTAGAAAATAAATTTTTTATACAATAATTTTATAATAGTTTGTAGCATATAATAGTATATTTGATTAAATTCACAGTATAGGTAAAATTATTGTATTTTTGAAGTTTTTCTGAATTTAGTGAGATGCCTAACAATATATATTTAAATTAGACATTTCTACCCATTGCATGCATGATCTAGATTTTTTTAAACTACTCAAAAATTAATATTTTGACCCAAACGGTTATATATATTTAAAATAAATAAATAGTATGGACAAATTGATGAATTGAATATATGTCAAAACCTAGGACGTCATTTATATGGCAATGTTTATGTCAAAGTAAGATCAAAATTCTTCAACTTGTAATCATTTTTAATATTTCCTTTTTAAACAATTTTATGTATTTGGAATTTTATAATACTAACCTTTTTTATAGAAGATAATATTTATTATTATTATAACATAATAAAATTATATTAATCAAAGATCAGCAGAGGTACCATTTGCATGGCCCAGCTCAACCTGGATATTATTCTTAAAAAAATTTCTGGCCTGGTTTGGATTTTTATTTTTTAAAATTTTTTTGGCCCGTGTTTTATATTTTCATAAGATTTTTTTAAAATATATTACATTTATTTTTAATTTTTATAGTTAATAATGCCGATTTAAAATATATGGCTTGATCCAAGTATTCTTTTTAAAAATATTTTTAGCCCAGCCCCACTAGGGTATATTTAAAAAAATAAAAATAAGGTCTGGCCTATGTACTGGGCTTAGATCTAGGGCTGGGCCTGCATATCTCTGATATTTATGAAACATATAGCACCTTATCCATTGCTAGTTATCAACAGGGTTGCCAGGTCAAAATTTTCAAATTGCGGGAAAAATTTGGTATTATGCGAGAGAAATATAAAAATTGCTAAAAAAAATTTTTTTTAATTGACTTAATTATCCGCCTATTATTTTTATAATTAGTTTATATAAATACAAAGTCGGTAATTATTTTAAAAAATAAAATACGTCTTGATTTATTAGAATATATTAATTTATAAAAAAAAACCAACGATCTTTTTTAAATATAAAAGAATGTAAACAAGATAAAATTTTATTAAAAAGAACGATTTTACAATTAAAAATATATTTTATGTGAATGTCCCGCAAAACAACCGCAATTGGAAATCTACCGTATGTTTGTATTTATAACATTATAGGGATAGGCGCTTAATTATCACGTTTAAATACATAATAAGGTACTCCAAAAATAAGATATAATAAAGATGTAACTACAGTTGCGGCAATTTTAATCACTTATCTTGTAGTGCAACATTCACAGAGATACTTATTATCACAATGTTGGTAGAATCTTTTCCCCATTATATTTAACTACTCTAATATAAATTAAAACAATACTTGTAGAACAAAAATGAGCAAGGCTATCATCAATGTTTTAGGACCTAAATCCAGGAGGTCAATTCTTGACTATTTGAAAGATGGGCATACATATGTAATTCTAACAGATGCATCTAATAAGGGAAATATTAAAATATTTCCCTTGATCCTGCGCTATTTCAACAAAATTAAGGTCGTTTCAATAAAACTATTAAATTTTTTCCCCTCAAATAGTGAAAAATCTAAACACATAGCTAACCATATAATGGTAAATATAGCAGATTCGAGATTATCAATAAATTGCATGTCAGCTTTCTGACCTGATAATGCCTCGGTAAATTTGGTAAAAACAGAGTGTATTTACAGAATTGAGTCAGCACAATGTTGGTTGCGATATGTTCCCAATACCCGTCATCGATAGAATTTTAAAATTTTATAAACCTTTAAAAATATATTTCTTAAATAAAGATTATAAAAGCTGTCCTAACATTTTGAAAATTTTTTTCAATAATGAATGGCAGAGGTATATTTAGGAATGATTTTACATGTATAAGAAATCTACTACATGCTGTTAATGTGTAGTTACAATCAGAAGAATCTTAACAAAGATTCACATAATTATGCTGCAGATGTGTTCATCTTTACAGTAAAAATTTGGCAATAAATTTTATGGCGCCATTGCTAAAACTTAATTATATTTTATTGAGATTTAAATAATAGAACTAAATGTTTACCGTCGTTATTGAGATATTTATAAAATTCCTAGCATTACATATTATATATTTGTTTAACCATTAGCTCGGCCTCTAATGTTGTTAAAGCAATCCTATTTCTTTATTTTTTCCAGGCAGTCCTCATCAGGCTAAAAATGCGCTCGGATGAGACATTAGAATAAGGTAAGGAGAAGACATAATCGCATATTTTTTCCAAGCATGAGATTTATCGTTATTACGAAAAAATTCTACCCATTTCTCCTCTGCTTTTAGACCATCTAACTTTAAGTATTTTAGCGAATCATAAAAAATAGAGAGAATTACAAACTCCTCAAACAAGACATCAATGTCTTTCTATATTTTTAATATATTTATTAAATTATAAAAACCATCAATTGATGGTTTCTGTTCCAAGGTCATAATATTTATACATTTGTAAATAGAGTTATTAAAATCAAATTTTGATTGTAAATATTATAAAATTGTCTTAATAAAAATATCTGCTTCATTTAAAAATATATTAATTAGAGTATTATTTGAACATTTTTATATATTATTTTTAGCAATAAAGCCATAAAATTTATTATCAATTTTTAACTGTAGAGATGAACAGAGCTGTAGCATGATTTTGTGAATCTTTTTTAATACAGAATATTCTGATTGCAACTGAATATTAACTGCATTCTACTATTTCATACACGAAAAAATTTTTCAAAATTTTAGGACTGCTTTTAAAATTTTATTTAAAAAGTATTTTTTTAAGGGTTTGTAAAATTTTAAAATTCTATCGATGGCAGGTATTAATGACAACCACCTGATAGGTATATATCGCCACAACTCACACCATTCCAAGTCAGACCACTTTACCAACTCTTTTATTCATTAACTCTTTTAGTTGATGAATTAAATTCGTTAAAACATTTCATCACAATTATTTCGACATCCACAGATAGTACATTCATTGCCTTCTTGCAAGAATTATGTAGTATATGGCATATACAATAAATTTTAACAGTTTTATTGAAATGTTCTTATTCTTGTTTTTAATATTTCCCTTATTAGATGTATCTGTTAGAATTGCATATGGATGCCCATTTCAAATCATCTAGAATTGACCTCTAGGATTCAGGTACTAAAACACTTATGATAGCCTATATCATTTTTGTTCTGCCATAAGTAAGGTTTGCACTTATATTGGAGTCGTTAAATATCATGAGAAAATGATTTGACCCACATTGTGATGATATAGATCTGTGAATGTTAAACTACATGATAGATGTATACGATTTCCGCAAACGTAGTTGCATCTGTATTATTTATTATTTTTGAGAATATTTTTGTATTGCAATCGATGTTGATATACTCCACTGTACTGACTTACATGAATGAAATGATGTTGATTTATTATTGGATAAAAATAAAACAGGATAGAAAGAAATTTACAAACTAGACATGTTTTTCGAATAAATATTTAAATTTATTTTAAATATATAAAAATAATCAATTAATGTCTCTCAAAATCATTATTTATATATTAAAAACATTAAAATACTTTTTTAAAAAAATTGCGGTAGATATTAAAAAATTGCTGTAGATTTTTGCGGGAGAGAGATGTCTGCGCCCCCTGATTGGGGGAGACATTGCAACCCTGGTTATGAATGATCGACATTTCTAAACCAACTAAATCTTTTTGTTACAGTTAATAAGGCATATTTAAAGAATAAAAACATCTAGGTTAATTATTTATATCTGTTTATAATGTTTTCATACCCAATATATATAATATTACGGTATAATACAAATCATAATTGTAATATTTAAAAAAAAAAATTATATATAATGTCCAACATAAAACCTCCAAAACTGATTACCTCATTATACTGACCCCTTTAGCTCCAACCCCATAACAAGCCCTATATAAAAAATAATTGCCATGAGCACTCCAAAACACTCATATTTAAAAAAATGTTTTAGCAAAATTGACTTTTTTTATCAAATAATAAAGGTGAAATAAATGTTCAAGATTTATCAATAGTAATAGAACTTATATAAGTAATGAGTTTCAACAGTTCATTGATACTTTTTCTAATGTATATATTTTAGTCAATCACTGAAAATTAGTGTTGTTAAATGATCAGTATTTTTTTGAACCAGGCAGTGTCTTAAAAATTAACCCCGTTCTAAGCGAGGGTCAAAAAATCGACCTTGAATTTACCCCAACCTAATGGTCACTGGGCCGAATAATATAAATAAAATATAAATCACTATTTATATAACTTAAAATAAAAATATAATTTAAATAAATTGGTTTTATGGGTTAGATTTTATTTTTAATTTACAAATATATGTATTTGGTTAGTATATTTATAATTATTTTTGTCACTTTTTTTTTAAAAATAATACCTTTGTGATCTAAATCTTTCGTATAAATTTAAGGTTATAAAATCTTTATTGATTTTAAATCCTGGTTGATTTGTTTATAATTTTATTATTTTATTTAACAATAGTTTAAATGAAATATTATAATTTTTCTTACGGAGTAAGTTTTAAATTTGTATTTCTTAGAAATTTTTTTGAAGCGAATAGGTTATAATGGGAGTTGCATCGATATTTTTACTGGGTCGGGCCATTATTTCAACCTTTTATAAATATCGGTTATCGGCCTATATCATAAAAAATTTTCCTATCCCATTAAATGGCGTCTTCATTAAAAAAAAAAAATTATTATTTTCATAATGCTATTTTATTTATATTACTTATTATGTAAATAAATTAATATTATTATTTTTCAATAAGTTGATTTATCAATAAAAAAACAAAATATTTTATATACTTTTTCGATTCGTGAATATGAACTATAACCGATTCATTATAATATATTTTAATGATTTTTTTGGTATAGTTTTAAATTATAGATGTAACACTATTAAAAAAATAGGCGAGATGAGTTGTTGTATGTAGTTATATAACGATCGCCTCCATTTCACCCGATTTTTTTAACTGATATCTTAGCCGGGCTTGGCAGAATTAGCGGGGAAAGAAGACCCTGTTGAGCTTGACTCTAATCCGACTCTGTGAAGACACATGAAGGGTGTAGGATAAGTGGGAGGGCAACCGCCAGTACCCTAAGCCTCGAAATTTCGCTTATAGTTGTCCAAACCCTAGGGCCATCTATGAGCACAATCTTCCAGGCTTGCGTAAGACCTTTCTGGATAAAATACCGAGTTAAGCGGTTTTAAAAACCGGTTCGAATGAAGCTATTTTGCAACCCTATATGTATGCATTAAAAATTAAATAAAAGATCAGTATGTTTGCAGAATACAAAATCGGATATATATACAGGATCGGTAATAGACCGATATCAATTTAATGTCGAATCAGATCCGCCACCAAAAAAGTGGTAACAGTACAAACCCTAGTTATTGTATAATTGAAATAAGGTTGGGTGATTATTTATTTTTTTTTAAATAAATTTTGAAGATAACGGAGTAAAATTATGATTTCAATGAAGATTAATCATAAAATAAAGTAGCAATTTTAATCATAATCGTTATTTTTTTAAGTCTTCTCTCAAATTTTTACGAAAGGAAAAAATGCGTAAATAAAAGATGTAATTATATAATAAATGGTAAAATGAAAAAATATTTTATCGCGAAAGTTTTACAATTAAATTATTTAAAAAAAAATCTAGCCAAATTTAAAAAGTAGAGTGTCAGCAGGAAAGTGCTACTTAACAAATATATGGTCTTAAATTACAATTTATTTTAATATAATTATATATGCCATATTGTATCGGTATCAGTGACCTTCAGACCTTAATTTTTTTGATCACGCCCTGCCCAGGTCAGCAGTAAAATAAATTTCCCGAGCCTACATCCATATTATATTTAATGTCTAGGAGTTGGAAATCACTCACTTTTATATCTTTTTACTTGTGGCGCATTTTAAATTTGAAAAATTCTAATTTGACCGGAAATGTATTCCAGTGTGCCTAGAATAAATACCTACCCTATAAATTTCACTTAATTTTTTTTTGCCATGAACTTTTGTCATTTATTTCAACTTGTCACAGTCAAAATTGTCCGAAAATTCGGAGAGTATTGGTACTCTTATCTTATACAATGTTGGAATATATTTTCGGTCGAATCGGATGGTTAAGATTTAAAAATGGCGATTCCGAACCCCAATTTCATATCCCGAATACGAAACGGGATTTAAATTAGCTGAGAACAAAAAATGTGTATAGGTCAGAGACCTGCAGAGGTACCATATGTACGGCTCGGCCCGGATTTTTTTAAAATATATTTTATTTATTTTCGATTTTTACAACTAATGATGGCGATTTCAAATATTTGGTTAAAATATTCGGCTCGACCCGGCCGGATATTTTTTTTAAAAAAGACCCGGCCCGGGTAAATTTAATAAAATTAAAATGCTGCAGGTCTCTGGTATAGGTTCTGTTCAATTCCTTTTAGGCATTCAATACGAATTATGCATTATTTCTTCTAGTACAAAAGGGTTTATTACATTCGGGGTGGGGGGGGGGTCTCGAAAATTTTGCAAACGTATCTATTATATATATATTTTTTTCCCCTCCTTATTTATTTATTTAAAAGGATATTAATATTAAGTTGTTCTCCAATTTATATATTAATTTTTTTGGGGGTAATAAAAGATAAAAATTTTACGCTTTTACTTATATATATGTTTATTTCGTTATTGGCAATGATTTTTTTTAAAATTAATATTTATTTTACAAAAACAATTTTTAAATTTGCTTCCCGAACTAGTAGTAAAATAAAAACGAGATAAATGGTTTAACGGTTAAGTTCAAAATTTTTCTCATAGATGGCACGAGAGATTGGAGGCATCCATTTATTAAACATCACACGCATTCCTCTTGTGATGCGGATCGGAGCTAGTGTGGTTTAAACGGTTCGATTTGAGTCGATGCGTTAAAAACGGACAAACTCGATTTTTTATTCAGGGAAATATTGTGCGAGCCTAAAGATTTTGCTCGTAGATGACAGAAAGGTTTGGACACCTATTGACGAAATCTCGAGGCTTGAGCAAGATTTTTCTGAAAATATTGAGTTAGCCGTTTTGTAAATATCGGCTCAAATTCGAGCCCTTTAACAACACTACTTTGGGCGCGTCGTCACTGTTGAAATCTAACAAGCCATTTTTTTTTATATTCTAATAAACGCGTTTAAATTGCGTCATTTTAACGCCGCCTTTGAATCGCGAGTAAAGAATTTCGATTCAAAATTGTCTCCGATTTTATCGTTACGTAAAATATATTATCTCAATAAACCCAAACCTCTTACATTTTTTTGTTGTTTGTTTATTTCGAATCGCAAATATAAATCGTATACCCTCAATTTGTAAGCGCTATACGGGTACGCGCGATTTCGATTCCGCCATTGATACCCAACCTTAATTTGTAGATCTCAGCATCCAATTTTAAAAAAAATGAGGATCTAGCAGCAATGGAACGAATTCCATCATCAAGGCTTCTTGAGAAGGAGTCGCCATTTAACGTGTTACCCCAGAAATAATTTCTTATCTTTTTTATTTTTTTTTATGAAAAGTAATCGTTTAAGTCTGCGAAGTATTTTTGAGGTTTAATATGATACCATTTTCAAAATGTCGGATATGATGGTTAGCAGCGTAGTAGCCTTCGATATTCAATATCGAATCTTAACCTTTATAATTATATTAGTATTATGTCTCCTATAAGCTTTCTTAAAATGAGTAAATTATTTGTTCATAGTTTCTTTATTATATTCGGAAAAGCAATCTGGGCACCATCTTTGACGTAAGGGGTGGGTAATATCTTAGGATTACGCGTAACCCACTCATTCACAGTTGGGGCGAATTTCACGGCAGATTTGTATTATCCGCGGCGAATTCTCGCTAACCGCGAATGAGGGGTAAGGGTGCACTTATGCCTATTATTTATTTATTTCTTAAATCGGAAAAACCACTCATTCGGAACAGCTATTTAAAATTTTTCTTTTCAAATGCTGAAATAAGTATGGGTGCGGTCAAAAATTTTTTTTATATAAAAATGGACGATTTGCGCATTTATACATCGTGCTACCAAATTCGATTTCGTAAATTTCAAAAAATAAATTGAAATTTTGATTTGAAAACATTAAATTAAATTTTATTAAAAAAAAATAATTGCATTATGTAGTTCAGAAAAAGTGAGAGCGCCGATAAAGCCCTCATGTCCATAAACAACAGATGGTTCGACCAAAGGCCTATTAACGCGGAATTATCGCCTGTCGTCGATTTTCGCGCCGCTTGCTGTCCCCAATACGAGGAAGGGTGCGAAATGATAAGCCTTTCTTTCATTCTTTTTTTTTTTAAACGAAATAAATATTGCGATAAATTTAAGAAGGAATAATAGGTATGTACATGTTAGCGCCAATGTGTGTTTTTCCGCCAATGTGTTATTTTTGCAACTTTAAATCATATTCTTTGAACTCGTTTTAATAAATTAAAAAATCCAATTTTACCGATATATATTCTATCATGTTTTGGAATACCTATCTTATGGATTGTAGACAATTTTGCCGTTAACCTTTGAGTCATTTTATAATTTATATAAAAAAATATATGGAAAATCGAATATAAATTACATTAGTTTTAAAAGTTTATGAAAAAAATTGTCTAAAAATCCATAGGGTAAGGTATTCCAAACATGATGGAACACATTTCCTAAAAACGCGCTCAAAATATGTTTAAAGTTGAATAAGTAACACTTTGATGCTAACATATATATATATTAAAAAAAGTTAGAGAGAAAGTAAGAAAGAAAGAAACTTTCTTGCAGAAGGGGGACTTATTCTTATATTTAGATTTGAACCAACCTTATTAGTTTTGATAATCATTTATTTTTTTTCGTTATTTTTATAAAAATAACTATTAATAAAGAATATAAAATGCAATAAATAAATTGTATAAATTCGTTCGCGATTGAATAACATTTAAGAAAAAGATAAAGTATTAAAAAAAATATATAAAATGCAATAAATATAATTTAAATTTGCAATTGAATAGAATTCAACTGATAAAAAGGATGTCAAACTATTGTACTTTTTATAAAAATAACTATTAATAAAAAATATAAATTGCACAAACATTTAACAAAAAGATGCTTACCGATTATCTTTAAACTAAATTGCAATAATTATAATATATAAAAATATTAGAATAGATAATCACATTGATATAATTCTAACAAAATGATTGTTATTTTCATTGCTAAATAAATATTCTTTAAATATTTTAATATTATTAAAAATTTTTATGGGCGAATGATAAGCCCACTTATATTGGGTATAGATTAATATATTTGTCTGCAACAATGTGGCCATAGATAATATTTTCACCTCTGTTGCCCAAACACCTTTTCCCATAACATTTCTGTTAACTGGTATTCCTCTACAGGATATCCTATAAATTTTCCCATTTCCAGTTTGAAATCTTCGTTCCAGAACGCATTCCTCCCTCAGGTAATTATAATTATCCTGGCTATTTGATATATTTTGAATTACACACCTATAAACATGGTAAATAATTAAATATTATATAAAGATACTAACCTAAAAAAACAGTTCCCATCACCCACAATATGATCGGTTGTGAAAATCTCTTTTAATATACCACATTTTATCTTAGGATAACGGCCAATTACTTTGAAATTGAACCGTGTAGAGTGGTATACCTTTCAGTTCTTTTTTGTGGGCAAAAGTTTACCAATTTTCTTTGGTATTATTGCATCCACAATCATTTCGTCATATAAATTGATAATTAAATAATAACATATTTTAAAAAAATATTACTACCCTGATCTTGTACACCTATATCCTTCCTCTCTCACTAAACTTTTAAAGGCTATTATTGGATCTTCACTAAATGTATCTGTATCCAAAAAAATATATTAAATAATTTTATATATTATACCCTTTCTTTTGACACGGTTTATTTTAGTATCCTCCTTTCTAATTTCCAACTCTAGAATTTTAGCTTTATTAAAAATAAAATTTTTCCAATTTTAAAAAAATAAAACTTTCTCCTGAAACTTTATTATTCCACAGGATATTTCTTCAAATAGTGCTTCTTCTAATGGAAATATAATAATTAAAAATATATTTTTCTTTTTTCCAAATGCATTTGTTTACCTTCTCCTTCTCTAACTATAGTTTTAAGAAGCCTACAAACTTAATTATTTGTTCAATATTATTTTATGAATTAACTTAATATATTACCTTGATCTTGAACACCCTCTATAGTTGTACAATGTGCAATTTTTTTGACTTTTACTATTAAAAAAGTTATATTCATATATTTAAAAAATAATACATTTGTTTCCATATATATAGTGCTTTAAATTACTTATATTAGCTTTAATATGTAAAATTTTTCCTGTTGAAAACGATTTCTACATTGCCTAAATATGTATAAATATTTTGTTAAAAATTAATAATTTTACTATTAACAATTTTAACAATTGTATATGGACCTACCTAAGTCTGCAACATTTTCCCTCCTTTCCTGTCAGCCCGACGATTATTCCAAACAAGCACTTTATCATTTATGTGATAAAGTGCATTCTTAGCAGCATTACGAGTTTTATAATCTAGTTGCTGCTTAAGTTGAGCCTTTACAATAATTTTTGTTGTAGTCTTGAATATGCCTTTCATATTGTTTGCCATTTTTTGGTAATTGCATTCAAACTCTATGTCAGAAAGATTATCAAGATCTGTATTTGGTTCTCTAAATAATAAAAATAAATATTTATTATATATATGATAAATATCATTATATTATAAAAATTTCATCAACCTTGACTCTGCCATGCCTGCATAACAGTGAATATAAAAAGTGGATCACTGAATGGGCTGTCTTATCCTTTAAAGGCTGTTCGATATATTTTGAAAAATAATCAACAGCAATATATTTGTATCCATCAATGCTCTCTGGCAATAAACCAGTGGCTTAACTAGTGGGAAGGGGTGCGCAGGGGCTCGAGCCCCCTGAAGCAAAAATTTTTTTTTAAAATTGCTCTTTAATATCCCCTTGAACTAAAAATAAATTTTTTTAATTTCCCCCTGAACGATTTCTTTTATAATTCTATTGAGTAATATATAGATTTAATTTTATTATTTAAAAATTAATAAGACTATCTAAATTTTTATTAAATGAATACTATTTTAATTATTAGATTAGATAAATACATATAAATTATATTTTCACTATGTTAGCTTGCAATCATATTATAAAATATATCAATATCACTCACTAAATATTACCGTTGAAGCTTAATTGACTTTTATTATTTAAATTATTATATAACCCTAATTAAATAAATATAATCATTTATTAATTGAAAATTAACAAATTTAATATTGTAACTAGCCTATTTCAAAATCACTAATCAACTATATTATTGATTTTTAAATTTAATTATCATGTCTCTTCCTAAAATTATTTTCAAAGTCCAAACCCAAATAAGTATAAGAGATTTATTTATAAAAAGTAAGTAGACATATAGTTTATAATCCTCTATAATATATAATTATTTATAAATATTAAGTAAAATGCCATTTTTACAGACGTATTTGAGAGTTATATAATATATTACAGTTAATATTTTAAAATCTTACTAATAAATTCTTTTGATAATAAATATAAGTAAAAATTTGCATTCAATTATTTAACGCCATCTATTTATTTAAAATATTATTAAAACTAAATGTCTTATTATTCATCCCACAATGGATGTAATAAATTAGATATCTTTTCTTCTCTTTTTTACGTGTTTTTAGGAAAGCTATTTTTTTCTTTTTCGAAAAACAGTTTTGAGTTAAATTTTTAAATCAAGTATATTTTTGATATTATTACAAACTACTATTATTTTAAGATATAATATACCAACTAGAGGTGGTACGACAATATATAAATTCTTAGTTGTTTCATCGTATCATTCTGGTCCTTATTTTATAGTCAGAAAATGTTCCATTTCTAATATGGCATCCTTGCTGTGTAAATAACTCAAGGTTTCAATATATTTGCACAATTTCTTCTAATTATTTTTAGTGTTTTTGTTTTATCAATTTATCTAACATAATAAATTCTGATATGGGTTACCATCGTGAGTGTCATGGCTATGACTGCAAATTAACCAGCATCTATTATTAGTGTGGCTTTGTAATTTAAGATTATTATTACAGCTGCTGAGAGCATATGATTCCATATTTTAGATAAGCAATAATGGTCAACTGTGTAGTCGTTTATATATCATTAAAAATGGAAGATAATCTTTTGGAAATTTAATATCTCACAATAATTTTCTCGATTACTTATCTAGCTTCCATCAGGTCATCTAAGAGGAAGCTCTAATAGGTTTATGATTTGGGTTGGTCGATTATATTCTCTTCTTCGAGATTTGTTGATTTAATAAGGCCTATAAATTTTTCCTTATTAGTCCATTCTATAAAACATTGTCTAAAATGGCAACAGAGAGTATATTAGTTTTATGACCTTTTGTCAATGTAATTTGCTAAGAATTATATAGTCTTATGTGGTTTTTAAAAACCATTATCAATTGAGGCATATGTATAAATTAATTAACCTTTTTTTATCACTTTAATTCTTTAGACGCAAAATTTAGGACTTAGCAAGCTGGCGAGCGTGATCCCCCCTTTTTACGATGATGTAGGCGACCTGGCTATCGGTGACTATCTAAGGGACCGCTATATCAGCGAAAATATTTTATACTAATAAATAGATTTTGTATTAAAAATATTATTTTTAGAAATGCCTTGTATTATTTTAATTATTTATGCTAGTTTATTTTGTATGCAAAATAGAATAAATGACAAAATATGAAATTCTGAATTATTGTTTAGAGTTACCAAACTTTAAAAAAGTATAATATATTATATCAAACCCGGCCCGAAGGCTAGGCAAAAGCGGGCCGAAGGCCCGCAAAATGGGGTTAAGGGGGCTTTGCTCCTGTAAATTTTTTTTTTAGTTGAGCCCCCTGAGATTGTAAAGGCTAGCGACGCCCCTGCAATGAACATAGGTCTAACCCTATTTGTGTCTAAACCTTAGATATAATAGGAATAGATTGCATTTCCAAGCTTGTTTTGTCAAATCGGGAATTGTATCTTTGACATAGGTCGCATGATTTTACAAAGTCAATGACATCTTGCCGCATTCCTTGCGCCACCAATATCTAAATGACATAATTGAATTGCTATGTTATTTTTAAAGTTTTAAGCATGTTAAAAGAAATTTGTTAAAGGTTAAATTTAAAA